CTCTCATCCGACTGCTCTCACCCGCGCCGCTGTCGCCGGTGTGCAGCAGGGAGGCCAGCAGCTCCACGGCCTTGAGCCGGACGTGACCCACCGGCCGGCCCAGCATGCCGTAGCTGGCCAGCCAGGGCCCGCCCGGCAGGCCCGTGCCCGCGGCATCGCCGTCGCCCACTTCCAGCATGCCCACCAGGCGCCCCACATCACGCGACAGGCAGGCGATGGCACCGGCGCGCAGCGTGGCGTGCGCCGCGGCGGCCGCCTGCGCGCGCCCGCCCTCGGCTTCGACGGGGCGCGGCGCGGGGATGGGCACAGCGTGCATGGCGTGCGCCACCGGCTCGGCGGCGGCCGCGCCGGCGTGCGCCAGCCCGCCCGCCACCGGCTCCAGCAGTGCCAGGCAGACATCTAGGGCGTGCGAGGCGGCGCCGGGGGTGCCGGAGCTCAGCGCGCCCGACACCAATCGCGCCAGGACCTCGGGTTCCGCCAGGGGCGCCACCAGCGGCGATCCGGGCGACTGCGCCACGGCGGCCAGGATCTCGGCCACGTTGGCCGCCGCGTCGGGCGGCGCCTCGGGCCCCAACGCGCGCAGCAGGAGCGGGAGCAGCTGGCTCTCGCCCAGCCAGTCCAGCGCGGGGGGCGGCGGCGCGCCGCCGCCGCCCACCTCCCCCGCGCCCACCAGGCGCACCACCACCTCGGCCACCGAGGTGGTGCCGCAGTGCGCGCACAGCGCATTCAGGGTCGCGGGGTGGGCCTGCAGGTAGGCGCCCACCTCCTCCACGTGCCGGGCCAGCAGGCAGCCCACCACACGGCTGAAGTAGCCGGCCAGCATGCAGTTGAGGGGAGGGGGGGAGGCCAGCAGGGAGAAGAGCAGGTCCATGAGGACCTCGTCCTCCAGCAGGGTCTGGAAGATGCCCTCCACCTCGCAGCAGAACACCTCGCAGGCGGCAAACGGGTACTTGAACCGGCGCTTGGGGTCGTCCTCCTCCTCATCGGGCACCTCCACCAGGAACCGGAGCTAGCCGGGGGGGGGGGGCGGCGAGGATGGAGAGGGGGAGGGACGTGGATACATGTGTATACTGGGGGAGCACGACTCCACGCCAGCACACGAGGCACGACCCGCTGCCGCCCAGTGCACGGACCGGCTTTCCACAGTCCGCCCTGTTGCACACATCTGGTTCCCAGCCCTTCTCAGACCTCTCCCGTCCCCACAAGCCAGCCCACCAAGGCCTCCACAGAGCTCCGCTGCTTCAGGAAGATGATGAGCCGGTTGTTCAGCGACTTGCACTCCTGGATGAGCTCGTCCTCATCGAGCAGCTCCTCGAGCGTGTAGTTGTCCTTGTCGAGGATGCTGTCCACGGGACTCGCTGCAGGGGAGGAGGGGTGTGGGAGGAGGACTTGGAGGGCATGGGGCATGCGCATCACACCCCAACCCCCACTTCATTCTGGAGGGCTGTTGGAGGGCTGAGCAGGCAGACAGAATGTGGAGTTGTGGATGTACCTTGGGACAGTCCGGTGACCTGTGCGTGGATTTGTGGTGTGGCGGATCGTGATTTGGACTTTGAAGGAGGGCTCACACCCGCCTGTTCCACGTCCACCGCACCACTGGTACAAGTATGCCTGCAACGGCCCCACCGCCACTGCAGTTCCGCTCCTCCCACCTACCCGCCAATACATTGTGTGCTGGGACAGGAATTGTGTTTCAGGGGCTGCTCAGCGACTCTCTATCATTGTGCGGAAACGAAGCAGGCCTTTGTGCGAGTATGGACCCCCCACCGAAACCTCCCGTTGTGCAGGTCCGCGGCCAGGGAGATGGTGCACTCTGCACTCGAGCCTGTCCTCGTCGCAGGCCCCGACCAGATCGCAGCCCAGGACCTCGATCGATTGAATAGATGGGGCTGAGCGCCCTACAGAGCTCACCAGGCAGGGGCCGGGCCCGGTGGAAAGCGTGCCGCATCCCCCCTCGTCCTGGGTGCCGGAACCTCTTTTTCATGACGGAAGCACCGCGTGGATGGGGCATACCCCAGCCCCCGACCCCAAAACGGCGGATGCCCTTCAATTGGCCTACTCTCAAAACGAGGCTTGGTGTATCAAGTGCAACAGTGTGCGTCGTTAGTCGCATCAGCCTTGCACTCGCCCAAGAGGCTGTGCAGGAAGAGGAGAGGGCGAGCACCTTGGAGCACCCCAGGCCGATCTCCCGATCTGCAGCCTCCCGCCAGCTTTAGCTTGAGAACTGGAGTGCGTATTCAACATTGCCATCGTCACCCTGGGGACCATGTGTAGCGACCCCTGCCCGGATCACTTGCAATGAATCTGAATGGGGCTGGCTCTCGGCCCAAAAAGCAGGCCAAGGTCCAGTTCCTCTTCCCTAGGTCCAAGGGGAATCAGGTGGGGCGGGTTGTGCCATCGCCCATGCTGGCAGGGCTGGAGACCTGGTGGGGTGGACGGCATACATGCGTCTGCGCGCTGCCTCAGCGGCCGACCCCAGCTCCCTTGTCCCCTCCCTTCACATCACCCCACCCTCCCTGCCCCCCCACCGACAGCACTGCGCGGGCATCAATGCCCTCGCGCTCTGTGATGACACCCATAGCCTGTGGACTGCATCCAGGGATGGGTGCCTCATCCGGTGGAGCCAGGAGACGGCTGCCCCAACCCTCGCTTGCAAGGGCCACACCGACTGGGTGAATGACCTGGCCCTCCTGCCGGGTGCCGCACTGGCGTCGGTGTCGGCGGATCGCACGCTGCGCCTGTGGCGGTGCGACGAAGGGACAGCTGGTGAGCGAGGGAGTGGACGAGGGAGAGGGGCGGCAAAGCTCGTCAGGGGAAGAGCACAGGGTCATGTGAGGGCAACAGACTGATTGTGTGTGGCTCTCCCGCAGACTAAGCCCTGAGGGTGGCCTGCAAGTGTCCAGTGAGCCTGCCAGGGCCAGAGCGCGGGGCCCTCGCCAGCATGCCAGTCCCCGCCTGCTGCAATCACGCGGGTCTGCATGCCGACTTTACACTCAGAACCCTCAACCCCTCCCCCCTGCTGCTGCAGGAGTGTGTGCCGGGATGGTCTCGGCACACGATGATTACATAACCTCGCTGGCCTGCTCCGTCAGCGCCGGCGTCCTCGTCAGTGCCGGGCTGCGCGGGGGCCTGGTGCGCTGGGACCTGGAGCGCCTGATGGCCTCCTCCCTCAGCCAGGTCAGGGAAAGGGTGGGGGCCGTGTACCTCACACCTGCAAGAATGTGTGGATTGTCTAGCATGGAGATCAGCATTGCTGTCTGAAGCTCAATTCCTGGATGTCACAACCCCCTGTGCATCCCGTCTCACATTTCAGCCTCTCACTCCATCAGGCCTGAGCGGCCCTGCAAGTGCAGCGCGCGTTCTCCCCGCCCTCTGCGCCTGCCCGTCCTCACAGTCCTCCCTTGTGTTCCCCCCTTTCCTCACCACCCTGCAGCCTGCGCCCTACGACGCCCTGCCATGCCCCGGCGTGCCCCCGCCCAGCTTCTACGCTCTGGCCTTGGACGCCGGCGCCGGCCTGGCGGCGGCCGGTCAGGCCGACGGCGGCATTCGCCTGCTGGACCCCCGCGCCGGCCCGGCCACGCTGCGCGCGCTGCGCGGGCACACCGACGTCGTGCGCGGCCTGCTGCTCTCACGCGACGGCCGGCGACTGGTCAGCGCCTCCTCGGACGGCACGCTGCGCGTCTGGGACGTGGCCGGCGGCGGGCGGTGCTGCGGCACCTGGGCGCCGCATGCGGGGTCGGTGTGGAGCCTGGCCTCCCGCTACGCCGACCTGGCCAGCGTGCACACCGGCGGGCGGGACGGCAGCGTGTACCGCACCGACACCGCCGGCGGCTGGACCCGGCGCCTCTGCGCGCTGGGCGCCCCCGTCTCGGCGCTCGCGGTTGGCGAGCGGGGCACCTTCTGGACGGCTTCCTCTGTTCTATCCAGAGCGGCGCGGTGGGAGGGAGGCGATGAGGCGCGGGGGGGAGGGAGGGGATGAGGCGCGGGGGGGAGGACGCGGTGGCAGCCGGGGGCCCGGGGGATTCGGGAGCGCAGCTGCCGCCTGGCTTCCAGGCCCCGCCCTCCGCCGCCGTGCGCGCTCGGCTACGCTTCGACCCCGACGCTCCTGCCACAATCCTGTCCGAAGGGCGGGACGCCGGCGGCGACGGCCGCGGCGACTGCTCCCACCCGCCCGCGCTGTGCGACGCGGCGCTGGCCTGGACGGCAGGGGTGGCCCCGCTGACGGCGGCGGCCGTCACCACGGACCGGCTGCGGGTGCTGACGCGGGACGCGGAGGGCGCGGTCGAACTGTGGGACGTGGGGCGCGGGCGCGTGACGCGGCACTGGGAGGCGTCGGGCGCCGAGGGTGTCGGGAATGGTTCCGCGCCCCCCGGCGCGGCCGCATTCCAGGCGGCGCGGCGCGAGCTGTTCGACCCCACGCACAGCGTGGGCGCCTGGTTCTCAGCCGACCTGCGCCTGGGCAGCCTGGGCGGCGTGCTGGACCCCGGCGCCGCCTTTGGCGTGGAGGCCTACGCGCGGGAGCTGGGCGCGCACGCCGCGCCCGCCGACGCCAAGGCCAGCTGCGGCGCGCTCATGCTGTCCGCGCTGTTTGGCGCCTGGGCGGCTGCGGGGGGGGGTGGCGGGGAGGCTGGTGCTGAAACGTCGGTCGAGGACGCGCCGCAAGGAGGGGAGGCGTCGCCCGGATCTGTGGGCGAGGGCTCAGCACCTGGATCGGCCGCGGAGCCGGGCCCGTCCGCCTCAGAAACGGTCACCACCGCGCCTGGTCCGCAGTCCACACCCCTCACGGGCCAGGGCCGGCAGGCGGTGGCCGCGCTGGGGCAAGGCGTCGCACCCTCCGCGACCTCGGCCAGCTTCTCGCTGGACGCCGAGGCGGCGGAGGTCCTGCTGCTGGGCGACGCGCCGTGGCGCGGCAGCCTGGCTGAGCTGGCAGCGCGGGGCGGCGAGGCGGAGGCCCTGAGCCCCGTGCCCGCCTGGGTCAGGAGCGTGGTGCTGGATGGCCAGGTCCCCGTCAGCCGCGACCTGAAGCTGGTCTTTACTCTGCTGCCCCTGGAGGTGAGTTGGGGTGTGGAAGCGGGGCTTGGGGCAGGCGGCGTGTAAAAAAGCTCTACTCAAAATTTTGGTCACGAGGCAGGTTCGGATGCCCTAGCGCACAAGCAGATGTTGTCGCGAGGCACAGGCTGGGCGGCGGCACAGGCTGGGCGCGAATAAGCTTGGATACAAGTTTGCACCTCAAGACCATCCCTCTCCCCCCCCTCCACCGCACCTTCACAAAGGGCTCCGGGCTGCCGTCGCTGCTGCAGAGCCGGCTGCATGCACCCAGGGTGCTCACCGTGGACAAGGTGGTGGAGTACGTGGGCCGCCGGCTGCGCGACGCGGGCTTGTCCCCGGGGGAGGCCCCCCTGTTCTACAACACGCGCGCCGCTGCGGCCTGGGAGGCGGGCAGGGCCGCGCAGACCCCGGCGGGCGCCGTGCCACGGCCCAACGGCCGTGCGAGCCCCGTGGAGGGCAGGCCGCCGCCCGCTGGGGCCCCCGCCGGCCCGGACCTGGTGCTCACCTGCGGCGGCACGGCGGTGCCCTGGGACTTCAGCCTGGCCGCCGTGCGGCAGTGGATCTGGAAGCGCTCCGATGACCTGGTCGTGCATTATGCCCTGCAGCCGCGGGGCACCGAGCTCGTCCTGCCCAGCATCCCCCTGCCCCCCATCGACACCTGATTCGGGTTTGGGAGTTCATACCCCGCGCCCCAGCAGCCCCCCAAACCCTGTGCATGTCCTTGGCGTGTCTCCTTGCAAGCATCCAGGCATTGTTCAGGGGAATGTTGAGTTGCTGCCCAGGGTCACAGGCGGACGCAGGACAAAGGGGAGAGCAGGTCCTGAGCAAGACTTGGAAGGATGAGGTGTCCTGGCTCCACACGCACGTCATTGCAAGAGGAAAGCGCCACTGGCCTGGCCTTTCAAAAACGGGTGGGAGGGCGCAGCGTGGCCCTGCACCAGCCACCGCGCCGTGCAGGCCGCCTCCAGCCTCCGCGCCTGCGATGGGCAGGGGGTCGCGGCACATTGCGGGGTCTCTATCGAGGGTACGCCAGGCGCGCTCGCGGGGCCGCAGGCCACCCTGCCCCCTCCCTGAGCGCCCAGGGTTCGCAGCGCAGGGGCCTCCAGTTGCCAAGCACCCAACAACGCGGGCCCCTCTCAGGCCCTGGATGCACAGCCACCCACCAGAGCCACGGTGACGGGCTCCCCCTCGGAGGTGAAGGGCCGGGGCCGGACCGTGAGCATGCCGTGCCGGTTGCCAAACACGATGTCGGTGAGGTAGCGGTCGCCCACCATGATCATCTCATGAGGCTGGCACCTGCTTGTGTGTTTGGGGTGGGAAGACGAGGCTGGAGGGGGTGCACTGTTCTGGCAATGACGTTGAGTAGATGACGGGGAGGCATGAATCTGAAGATGACCCAGCGTGAAAGGGTCACTGCATCGGCAGGCGGGGCCCAAGATGGATGTTGACAGGTTGATGGGGGCAGAAAATAAGCAACTTGCCAGCCTGGCACATGTCCAGCTGGCCGGAGGCCACCAGCCAACCTCTGCCACAGCCAGCCAGTATCCCAAACGCATGCATGCGCCTCACCCAAAGTGAGACACAAGGTCCTCCACCCCGCCGCCGGGCTTCTTCTCGCTGTGTCGCAGCACCGGGACCCCCAGGCTGGCCTCCAGGGCCGCAGCCTCCTCCCCTGGGGAGGGCAGGGAGGGAGGCGCGGGCATGGTGTGCCTGGCTCTGCAGGCGTCCTGTCACTCTCGCGGCAGGCACAGGCCTTGCCCATGCCCCTTGCTCGCCCACCCCATCAAAAACTACCGAAACTCCCACACCTCCACACCACACCCCCCCATGCATACAGGCACACACCCTCTGGGTCAAACTGGGCCAGTCCCGCGGAGTTGCTGAACAGCGCGACGGCGTCGCCAAAGTGGCTGCGGCAGCGCGCCAGCGACTCCGCCGCGCTGGGCTGCAGCTCCAGCGCGTAGGGCACCGTCAGCGTGTTGTCCTTGTCGAAGATGGCAGCCCGGAAGCCGGCTCCGTGCAGCGCCGCCCAGTCCACCTGGAGCAGGTCGCTGATGTCGAGGTGGGGCAGGCAAAGGCCCCGCTCGCGCTGCGAGGGTGGGCAGGAGGGACGCTTTGAGGATCGGATAAGGCCAGCACTGGCAGGGGGAGGAATAATGTGCCAGCGAGCTTCCCTCAGAGCCAGGTATCGAGTATCCAGTACAACTCCAGCCTGCATCACCCACCCAGGCTATGTGGAAGAAGAGGGAGGCGCCCGCGAGGTTCACATTTTGGCCCAGACGTTGCAGCATGGTCGCCTGGTTTGGAGAATCGTGAGGGGATTTTGAGGCTGGTACTGCAACCACTTCTCCTTTAACTACAGTAGCTCGATGACCCACCATTGACACCGCCAATGGCACGAACATGCAGGGACATCCCAACATCAGATGGTGTCCTCAGGCCTGCGAGCTTAATTTCGTAATGCCGCCCGGGTTTATCTTCACAATACAACCCAGAAGCTCAACCATGGGTTCACCTGATGAGGAGTGGGGTTGCTGGGTGCAGCGCCGCTCAACCCCTCAGGATGTGATCTGCTGGCAACAGTGGGCGAGGATCGATCCTGCATCCCCGGACTGTATGGTCTGCAGTGCTGTCGCTGTCGATGAGGCCTGTTTGCGGGTGGTCGAGGTGCTCGAGAGGAGCGGCAATACGCCCGCAGCATTACCGACACCCTAGTGGGGCGAGTGGTACACAGCACCCAGTCTGCCAGTACTAGTCAGCAAAGCTTTCATCAGAATCTGCGCTGTAGGCGTGCACCTATTCACAATCGGCATCCTGCTCGTTGCCTCTGGTGGCCTGGCCTGGGTTGGAGGACATGGCGCGCGTTCGGCTTTCGGTGCCCGCACACCGGAAGACGCACGGATTTCGCCAGCCACTGTCCGGCTCGTCCCATCCATGCGCTTGCGAGCAGAGCCAAGTACGACATACGATGTCAAACCAAGGTGACACATGTTCTTCTAGTAGAGCGGTACATTTAAGGAGACAGTAAATTTCGCGTCAAACGCGACCGTGTCAAGATGGGGGGATGCACCTCTAAACAGGAGGAACCCATCGGGGCTGGAGGCGCTCCTGTTCCCGTCAAGGTGTGTTTGGAGGCTCACATTGTCCTAATGAAAGCATGAATTTAAATTGTCCTCGCGGGGTGGGGTTGGATCCCTGAGATATCTGCACCATGCCTCACCCCTGGTCCTTCCCCAGGGTGCCGATGGGGCCAACGGAACCCGCCAGACAAGCAATGCGCAGCATGTCGTGTCGGACACCCCCTCCGAGCCCATCCTACAGCATTCACAAGCTCAAAGTCCCACCAAGAAGTCCCTCGAGCCGGCTGTCTCCGACCCCGGCCGCGAGTCTTCAGGGGAAGGGAAGGACCACGTCCCCGCCCTGCCTTCCGACCTGCCCGCGCCCCTCCCAATTCGCAAGTCTGGCGCTCCCCGCACCAGCGCCAACTCCTACAGGTCAGGCGCGATCAGGAGCAGCGCCGCGTCCCAGGGCAGCCAGACGGCAGCATCGTCGTGCGACGAACACAGCGGGCAGGCCGCGGCGCGCCCCCCCTCTCGCTTCCAGACCCAGATGGACCTCTGCCGGGCGGTGTTCAAGACGCAGTGGGTCAAGATTGCCCTGTCCCCCTCAGGCAAGGACGGGGGGGGGCGATGGGGAGCAGCTGGTCCGTCGAGGACATCTTGGGGTGCAGGTGCAAGTGACCAGGCGCCCAGGCAGGAGCCGCGTCACCACGCGCACTGCATGGACATGGTGTGCCGATCATGTGACTCGGCGCCATGCACCAACCAGCCTCATGCCCAGTGGGTAACCTGTCCAACTGATCTTGCTGGTTCGGTCATGCAAGGGTTTGCCCCTGTGCGTCCTCCCACATGCCGTGCCCCCCCCTCGCTGCCTTGCAGAGCTCACCTGGTACAACACCATGGCTGGGCTGGGCCTGGGCCAGGCGTTCGAACAAGACGATGGAGTGGCCTCCCTGGAGAACTGGGCGCTGGCGCCATCCCGGCAAGGCCAGCGGGTCATGGTGTGAGGGGGGATGTTGTGGTTGGGCATTCGGAAGCTTGGGGTGTGGAGCCAAGCATGATTGGCGTTACCGTTTCTTCCCCTGCGCTCCTCAACCATCCCACCCTGTTACTGGAGTGTGCCTGCCTGGCCAGGCAGTCGCAGTGGACTTCTATGTGTGCTGAACTGTGCCTCAGGCCCTACCATGCCACGAGCCGGGCTCGAGCGCTGCTGCCCCTCACCTGCACCCACCGCCGCATGCCCAGGTCTGGAACGACACACGGGAGGATGCCGAGACCGCAGAAGCAGACATCGTGAAGGGTCACCCCGGCGTCAGATTCTATGCCCGCTGCGCCCTTGCTGCCGGACCCAACCAGGAAGGCAACGAATGCATCGGCTTTCTGTGAGCGGCGGGGTGCTTGGGCTGAGGGACCTCATGCCCGCATGCCTGTGCAGGTGCAGATCCTTGCAGAGTGCCACGGTGGGACCTCTGTGCCCTCGGTGACCAGGTACACAGGCTTGGGCCGGAGTTGAGGTGCTGCCTGCTCCCCATACAACGCAGGTGTGTGGCCGACAGCGAGGCGCGGGACGACTTCAGCCCCTTGAAGATCACCATGCTCTCCCAGTTTGCAGATCTGGTGCTGAAGGACCTTGAGCAATCCAAGGTGTGCTCCTGCCAATGATCACTTGGTGCGGGTCGAGGGGGCGGCCGATGGAGTGGCAGTCCGAGGCGCAACCTGTGGCAAGAGGGAGGTCGATGCCGGCCCGAGCCTGCCATCGGTCTGTCCCCGTGACTCAGACATGCATCAGGGCATGTGCTATTCTTAGACTGGGTGATACACAGACTCCCTCCAACCACCCCCTACGCCAGTTGAGCACCATGCAAACTGTGGTGGCCCAGCACCAGATGCTGGAGCCTACGAGCCAAGCTGCCTCTGGGGCCAGCCGGATCCCTGGCTCGGCCACGACAGGCAAGCCAGGGCATGAAGGGGAGGGAACGAACCTGCGGGGGTCTTTCTCAGTTTTTGAGCAGCAGTAAGGATACAGTCGCAGTTGAAGGCCGTGCATCTAAGGCTACAATGGCAGTGTAACTTTTGGCGGAGAGGCTTCCCTCACAGCATCCCCACCCCAGTCTGACACTCACGCCAGGTCCTTTTCCTCCCCCTTCCCCAAACTTCTCCTCCCTTTCCACCCGGCCGCCTCGCAGTTTCCGACAAGCTTCTGCACGACCTGGTGCCCAAAGCCCCGGAGGCGCAGGGCCTGGCCCGGGCGGTGGAGTTCTTCAAGGAGGCGGCCCTCGTGGTGGATGTCTCCCAGCCCGCCAGCTGGCGCATCGTGCACTTCAACGGCTCCATGCGCGGCCTGATGGGCGGCGGCGACTGGCTGCCGCCGCGCGACTTTGACGCCCTGCTCTCCGAGCCGGGCGGGTCGGGGTCCGACCAGACGCGGCCCTCGGGGTCCCAGCCCTTCACCGGCTACTACACGCTGAAGCATGGCGAAGGGACGCGCACCGTCAGTGTCGAGTTTCGGTGCGCCCAAGTGCTGGGTGGTCAGTTCAATTCCCTGCTTCTTCGGGGCGAGCAGGCCTGGAGGTGGGGAAAACTGGTTCGCTTTTGTCGCAATATCACCTGGCCTCCTGCCCCACATTCCCTCACCCATCATTCCACGCCATCAACCCCCTCCTCGCAGACCGATAGCGAGCGAAGCCCTGCCGCCCCCAAACCCAGACGCTGCTGTCCAGCCGAGTGCGACACCTCCTCGATACAACTTTGCTATGGTGCACCCCATCAGGGACTCGGACGGGTACGGCACGCCTGGGGCGCTGGGCAGCGAGGGCTCCTCGGAGGAGGCCCGCGTGACGCAGTGGCGCCCAGCTGGGCGGCCCATGTCCATGGACATCGGGGCCGGCCTGCCGAGCCTGCGCCAGGCCAAGTCCTCCGTCTTCTCGGACGTCCAGCTGGGGCCCCTGATAGGGCGCGGGGCCTACGGCAGGGTGCGTGGCTGTGGGATGACTCTTTCTTCATGGAATGGGAAACATCAGGGGCCACTGCGTCACTTTGCCAATGCGCATGATACGGCAAGCTGCCGATTCTGCCATGGTGCTCGATCGCCATGCGTTCTCGGTCTGCCTGTCGCTGCCTCCGGGGATGCACCCTCACCGTGGGCCCCTCGGGGATGCGTCTTGAGCTCTGGACTACACGCCATGCCTCACACAGCAACGGCAGGACCTGCAGTCCATATTCCCCAACCACATCCACCCATCATACACATAGGTATACCGTGGCTCCTGGAATGGAAACACGGTGGCGGTGAAGGTGCTGGAGACCGACAACCCCGAGGTGGAGGTGATAAAGGAAAACGGCTCCGTGAAGAAGGCGGGCCTGTTCGAGGCCGCGCTGTCCAGCAGCATCTCCCACCCCAACGTGGCACACACCTACATGTATGCCGTCCGGCAGGCGGTGCGTCGGCGGGGGTGGTTGAAGAGGGAAGTGCTTGTGGAAGGGTTGTCTGCGGGCGCTGTTCCTGACGAGCGTCGGCGTAATGGGATGGGCATGGAGCAAAGGCCGTGCTTTGAAACTATTTCGAGGCGCACACCTGTTCTTGGCCAAGCAGGCCAAGCGCATCAAACCCACCCCTCAGGCTACGCCTGGCGCAGCAAACGACCTTCGGGCAGACAAATCTGTACCCATTTCCACCTTCTTGCCCCCACCAGGCCCCCGCCGGCATCCAGGGTGCGAGTCGCAGTGCCAGCGCCAACATCGACGCGGTCCTGGACGGCACCGTAGCGCTGCATCAAGGTGGAAAGGAGGCATAAAGGAGAGGTTTAGGGGGTATGTCTACGATTAAGCCTGCGGTCCTGCAATGGGGCCCATGCAAGCCCTTGTACCTTGGCTATCCTGCGAGTGGCCCCAGTCGGCTCTGCCAACCCAACCCCACAATGCACTCCATCCAACGCATTTCAGGTCCAGCCGCCCTGGCCCCTTCCAGCCTGCATGAGGTGTGGATCGTGTCGGAGTTCTGCAACCTGGGCCCCCTGCTCACGGCCATCGAGCGCGGCGCTTTCCTCACGCAGTCCTTTGCAGCGCAGGGCCAGCCCAACCTGGTGTCCATCCTCCAGGTGGGGGATGGGAGGGCGCTGACGCGGTTCCTTCATGTGACCTGCCTGCTCGCAGGTTACCTTCCCTGCAATGCACCAGCAGCCAACCACTCAGGACGCCCGCCTCCTGAAACGCCCTCGTGCACTGGCAGACGCTGCAAGAAATTGCGGCGGCACTGGCGTACCTGCACGCCAACGACATCCTTCATGGCGACCTGACCGGCGGCAATGTGCTCCTGGCTGCCAACAGCAAGGACGGCCGCGGCTTCACCGCCAAGGTGAGGGGTTGATCTATCGATGAGGTGGATCGATTGGAGTGGGGAGTGTGCCCACTTCATGCTTGTGGGAGGTCCGCTTCTCATGAATAGTCTGCGTGGTGGCCTTTTCCTCCCTCCTGGCAACCCCTCCTGCCACCTCATCCAACTCCGCAGGTCGTGGATTTTGGGCTGAGCCGCCTGATTGGCAGCGAGTCGTACCTGCGGACGCGGACCCTGGGCTGCGCAGAGTACATGTGAGGGGCTTGCCAGGGTTGAGTTTTGTGTGGGCCACCCAAGGAAGCAAGGGCTCAGCCCCATGGCAGGATATAATTCTTGCAAGTGTGCATGGCTTGGCCAGCCCGACCCTTGCTGGCGTCAGCAGGATCACGATGAAACTTCAACGACACCCAGGTCCCAGCTCGTCTCATCAACAGTCTACCTCGTTGCCCTCTTATAACCTCCCTGCCCTCCACTCCAGGCCTCCAGAGCTCATCATCGATGGGCTGCTGACCAAGGCCGGGGACGTGTATGCCTTTGGCGTGGTGCTGTGGGAGCTGTACATGGGGACGCGTGCCTGGGAAGGGCTGAAGACCTCCGAGGTGCTCAACCACGTGGCCTCCAAGCGCAGCCTGGTCTTTCCTCCCAGCACCCCGCACAGACTCAAGGTGGTTTGGTGCATTGGGAGGAGAAAAGGGGGTTGGGTCCCTGTGCAGAGTGTCCAGATGTTTGGGGCCCAACTACACCTGCAGATATCAGCTGGCGAACCCGACCATGCACATCAGTAACCCCCCTCTCCCTCCTTTCCAAACAAACTCAGGTGCTGGGCACAAGGTGCCTGGCCTTCAACCCCGACGACCGACCGACATTCAGTGACATCCTCGTGGAAGTGGACTCGGTGCTCAAGGATACGCAGTACATCCTCAGGAAGTTCCTGGCACGTAACGTGCCGATCTGAGGGACCGAGAGCAACCTCCGGCAGTTCCCCTCACCCACTAGAATACACCAGTAGCATTGATCCGGACCTGTGTGGGGCGCTCTGTCCAAGTTTTCCGACCCTAGGTATCCCTTGTATTCCATAAGACTCTCTGCCCCCCAAGGGAGCATGGGCATCCCCAGTGCCGGGGTCTGCGGCGGTGGTTGCCCCGCGCCCCGTGACAGGCGCCACGCCAGCCCGCCATGTGGCTGATTGATGTACACCCCCCTTTCCACACCCCTCTGATGCAAAGTGGCGTCGACCATCTTCCCTTCGACATGCTCCTCTCCTGTCTGCTGCATGCTCACCGCCACAGCACAAACTTTGCTCCGTAAGAAGCCCCTTTTGCCACCGTGTGCCATTCGTGCCATGTCAGCCTGGGATCGGGAGTCAGGCGCTGCCGTGCACCCAGGGCGCGCCGACTACGCCGGCTGCAAAGGCCAGCATGTCAGACACCTCGGCGATGACCTTGGCGGTGGGCTTGCCGGCGCCGTGCCCAGCCCTCACCTCCACACGCGTCAGCAAGGGGTTGCGCTGGGAGGGGTTGAGGTCACCTGTGCGGCATTTTGTGGAATCAGGGCTGTCAAGAGGGAGTTCTTGGTGAGGCATGAACCAGGAAGCAGCTTGGTTGCCAAGCATACAGCAAAGCCAGCCTCCCTTCTGCCGACATCAACCGGTGAGGAAGCTGTACCCAGCCCTCATGCCCAGATCATACACTAATGCTACCAAACGTCCCACCTGCCAGCGTGTGCTGCAGCGTCGCCACCAGCTTGAGGGTGCGTAGGGGAACGACGCGGTCATCATGGTCGCCGGTGGTCAGCAAAAACGCGGGGTACTGGCCGTCGTCCTTGGGCCGGGCGACGTTGTGCAAGGGGGACAGGGGCAGGAGCCAGTTGAAGTCCTCGGCCACGTCGGGGTTGCCGTAATCGGTGATCCAGGCGTGCCCTGCGCTCGGTCGGTGGATGAACAAGGTGCCTCGACGGCGGGAGGCGGCGAGCACGGCGTGCCTGGGGCACAGACCGTATCTCCCCGCTCCGGCAGCGGGAGCTGCTTCTGCACTGGGTTTCCCTGGGTTTCCGGCCTCCCGATCATGCATCCTCGGGATCAGTCCCCAACGGTCACACGCCCTAACCCTCACAGCACCGCACCAATGGTGAACTTGTGGAAGCGAAGAAGGTCCATGACCCCCACTTGACCCAGGACTGCGGCAAACAGGTCTGGCCGCTGCTCGGCGCAGGCAGCCACCAGGAGGCCGCCGTTGCTGCCACCCTGCGCAGGAAGGGGGGTGGTAGAGGGGGGCCTTTGGTGGGTGGCGTGTCGGCGGGAAGGTAGACGGGAGGACGGCGACGGCCAGCGCTGCGCGGTGCTGCGCGGGCCCGTGCAGCCCATGCAAGCGCCCCCCTCAACGACCCCACCCTGCCTATGTAGTACCAGCTACAGTACCTGGATGACGAGGCTGGCCGGCGAGCAGTAGCGCTGGGCAACGAGTTCCTCCGCGCAGGCCACGAAATCGTCAAACACGTTCTGCTTGTGCGACAGGGACCCCGCGTCACGCCAGCCGGTGCCAAACCTGAGAATATTAGTAGGGGTAGTGACAGAAGGAAGGTCTGGGAAAGGAATACTATGCGGCATCAGCTGTGATTAGATGTCATGAGACACCTCAGATCTGCCACAGGGCGTCAAGAAGAGTGCGCACCGAGCCCTCTCCACTTTACCAGGAGAATGTAATGTGACAAAGGCCAAGCCCGCACTTAGGGCTCTGAAGCCCCACACGCCCCTTCACAAAAGCCAGCCAAACCCACTCACTCGCCACCGCCGCGCAGGTTGGCGACCACTGTCACGCCCCCGTAAGCCAGCATCCACGCGAGCCGGGATGCAGAGAAGGAGGGCGTCAGGCTGATGTTGAAGCCGCCGTACCTGGGGAAGGGGGAGGACCACTCTGCGTCGTAATGTGCCGCCACTCAGGCTGCAGCAGCGGCAGGAACTCACCTCCCTGAGGCGATGACAGGCTTGAACGGGCATCAACACCATCTCCCTCATGCGATGCATGCCCTGGTTCCGCAGTCCACAGTCCCACTGCCACCAAGCAAAATGAAGGCACACTCGGCCACTCCCAAGTCACGCCTCTCACCCGTACAGCAGGGTGGGGGCTGTGCCGTCCAGGGTCAATCCCTTCCGGCTGACCACAAACATGGGCACCCGGGTCCCATCCTTGGACGTGCCAAAGATCTGGCGGGTCTGGAAGTCGTCAGGGGAGAAGCTGGCGGTGGCGATGCGGCGATGCAGGGTGATGTCAGAGTCTGACGCCGCCACGTCGCCCCTGCAAGAAGGTAGAGGTCAGGGCGGACACTAAGAGTGGTGCCAAGCACCCGTGAGCGAAGAACCCAAGGAACTCCAGGGACCCCTGGCACCCTCATCGACAAGACTCATAGCTCAAAACCCCACGCCAGCCCTATTGACCCCCGCTGCCGCTGCCGCCGCGCCTGAAGGTGGCGCCAGGCTCCGTGAAGCTGGCAAAAGAAAGGAAGAACTCCGTGGCCTTGTGGTCGCCGGAGAAGCCGGTGACGCTGCCGATGCCAGGCAGCTGCACGTCGGCCAGCCACCGCCCCGTCTCAAAGTCGCGGGTCTCCACGTGGGCCTGCGGGTTTGGGGATAAAGTGGGTAAAAGACATTCGTCAGGCCAAGGAGCAAGGGTTCCCTTGCATGGGCATCAAAGGGGTACTCTCCTTATATAAAGCGGTCACTCCATTGCCACCCTCATAAAACCTGTTCCCCCTTTCCCCACAGCCCAATCACCTGCACGTTGCGTAGGTAGCTGCACACCAGCTTCCCACCACCCAGTAACCTGACCCACTGCAGCAAGTCTGCCTCGTGCTGCGGCACCACGTTGGTCCAGGCGGGCGCCGGCGCCGAGATGTCGGTGCGTACCACGCGATACCGCGGCGCCCCGGCGTTGGTCAGGAAGGTCCACTCCGAGCCGCGCGAGCCCACGTACTCGTACGACGCCTGTGGCGGTCGAGGAGAGGAGGGCGGGGATGGGAGGGCTTGGGGAGAAGGACGGGATGGTTTCTACGGTATTGGGGCCTGCAGGCCCGGCCCTCCCCTCAGACCAGGCCCGGCTGCTGCTGGGCTTTATCAGCAAAGAGTGCAGTAGCCGCAACCAGGGGTTCCAGCGCACGGCATCATCGCAACATCCGCCCTCTGCACGCCAATTATCCTCCTACCGCCACAGCGTCGAACCCTGGTTCAGGCCCTTCTCCTCCCATCCCAAAATCTCCCTCACCTTGAACTCGTCCACGAGCTTGTTCAGGGGCAGCTCCCGGCTGCCAGCGGCGCCGTGCGCAAAGGGGGAAAAGTCCAGGGCACCGTCGGCCCTGCGCCCCACCGCATTCAGGTCCAGGATCCAGACGCGGTTCACGGGCTCGCAGCCGGAGGAGATGGAGAGGATGGCGCGCCCCCCATCGTCGCTCACCTCGCACCCGATCATCCAGTCGGGGTGCTCTGGCAGGGCCAGGATCGTCACGTCCCACGCCTGGTCATCTCCGAGCACGTGGTAGGCCAGCTCCTGGTTGTCGGCGCGCGCGGTCTCGGTCCCCGCCTCGCCACCCCCCCCCCGGCGGCGGCGGGAAGCGGTTGTAGAAGAAACCGCGGCCGTCGTGCGTCCAGGCCAGGCAGGAGAACTTGACGTGGCGCAGGGTGTCTGGGTGCTGCGTCGTGGCCCCCATGCCGGGGTCAACCCCCAGCACGTGCACGGTCTGCCAGTCGGAGCCGCCGGAGGAGAGGGCGTAGGCCAGCGTCGAGCCGTCCTCGCTGAAGGCCCAGGAGCTGAGCGCGACCGTGCCGTCGGCGCTGAGGGTGTTGGGGTCGATGAGCACCACGGGCTCGCCATCCAGCGAGGACTGGCTGTACACTACGCTCTGGGCCTGCAGGCCTGTTGAAGAGTGATGGGTGAGGAGTGTAGGAGTGAGTGTGGCAGTGATTGTGAGGGGTTTGGTTGGGGAAGCTGGGGGTAGTTGGAGGAAGGGGAATAGTGCCCGCACCTCACAAAGGTGAGGCATAGGAAAGAATCGGTGCTGGTCTGGGCACCCAAACAACATGCAAAATCCGTGAGCTCTCCTGCACTCCAGCACTATTCATGAAATTACCCCAGCCCACCGGTATTATGCGTGTAGTAGTATCGCTGGCCCTTCTTAAAGGGCGTCCCAAACTTTTCGTAGTCCATCAGTTTCTCAAGCAGCTTGGAGAAGGCGGGGCGGGTGGTGCACTGGTCCAGTACGCTCTGCGTCAGCACATTCTGCTCCTCCACGACTGCGAGGAGGGTACAGGAGCGATGGGATTCAGGAGACGACGTCGGTCTGCCAAGTTGGGGGGGGCTGCACTAGCCTGCCGGCTTCCCAGGAATGTCATGACCGCCAATGTTATGCCACGCCCACCCCACCACAAGCCGCGTGGCCCGTGCCGCACCCACATTCTGCAACATCGGGAGAGTCAGCGTCCTCCAGCCATCTGTAGGGGTCCTGGATGATGACGCCATGCAGGGTTTCTTCGGTGTCATCCCGCCGCACCCGAGGGTACTGGCTTGGGAGGACCTCTAGATGCCCCGAGGGTGCACCTGTGAGGCCAGGGCGGGGGGTGGCATGGTGACCATGTCTTCTTCTAGACGATTGCGTAACGAAACTCACTGCATTCCACCCCCCTGGCAGACGCACCCACTGCTGCAGCCGCTGGCCGGTATCGCTTCCCGGGGAAGGCCTGGAAGGCGATGGAGCGGCTCACGGGAGCGTACGCCCTCTTCACCAGGTACGATGCCACGGACGCCACCCCGAGGACCAGGCCACCTGCCAGCACTGCCGCGCTCCCGGCGCGGGACATGATCACTTCCTGGGTGTTTGGGATGACGGAGTCAGTCCTGATGTGTGCAAGCAGCACTCCTTTATTTAGATTGTGCTTAAGATTAAAACAGATGATTTAATGCCAAAGGCCATCGCTGCCTTGGGCATGCTTGTGATCCAGCGACACCAGTGTGTGTGGTGACGTGGCATGTCGGGGTGCGGCGTGATCTCGTACGCCCCGTACGCACGAAGCAATCCATCTATGACCAGCGGAACACTTACTGCATACAGCAAAGGGAAGCATATTTCGATCTTAGATCCTTGCCTTCCGGCGAGACGCAGGTGAGGAAGGGAGTGTATGTGGATCACTTGTCCTCCGCGGTATGGCTGAATGACATCTGGATCTCATAACTTATTCTCCCCATTTACAGGCGCATGCTGAGATCCAGAGCTCATTCGGTTGGCTTCCCCGGTCTCCGCCTTCACATCAGTGCTCTCCGGGCCCGGCCACCCACGCCTCGACCTTCCATCGTCATGGCAGCTACAGCCCTGCCCGGCAATCCCGACGTCAGCGCCTTCATCCAAGGCATCAATGACAAGTACCTGGAGGTGCACCGGGCGTACGAGGACAACTTCTGGGCCACCAAGATGGCTTTGTCTGGGGCCAGCACCTCCGCTCTCAGCAGCACCAAGAACGCCCTGGATGAGTTCCTGTCCTCACAGGACCGCCTGCGGGCGGTGTGCGATGCGGAGGCCCGCCCCGACCTCTCCCCCGAGCAGCTCAGGGTCCTGGCGGTGCTGCGCCGCACCTTTGCCACCTACGTCTCCGAGGAGGAGAGCGTGGCGACCCTCCGCGCCCGCCTGAACGACCTGGAGGCGGAGCTGGCGGGGGTGCGCAATCGCATGCGCCTGGGCACCACCGACCCCGCCACCGGCGAGTTCAGGCCCGCCAGCTCCGTCCAGCTGCGCAACGCCATGAGGATGAGCGGGGAGGAAAGCGCGCGGCGGGCCGCCTATGACGCCCTGCGCTCCATCGGCCCCGCCATCGCCGGGCCCTTTGCGGCGATCGTGAGGCTGCGCAACGAGCTGGCTCGGCGGGCGGGCTTCCCGAACTACTACGAAATGAAGGTGCAGGCGGCGGAGGGATTCACCCAGGCCCGCCTGTTCCAGATGCTGGACGGGCTGGAAAGCGCGACGCGCCAGCTCGCCACCGATGCCCGCGCCAGGCTGGCCGCGGCCAAGGGCGAAGACAGCCTCAAGGTGGGAAGGCGATTGTAGGCGAGGGGGGCCGGGGGTGGGGGTGGGATGCTGGTGGGGTGCCCCCAGGGCGTCTGCAGGTAGGCCATGGGTTTGTGCCACTCGTCAGAAGATGTTGGTGCTCTGGCTCGGTGCAGAGAGGGGAAACCCTGGCACGGCGATGCTTGCGCCAGATTAGGGAAGGGCCCATGCCCTCGAGAGCCTGACGTCAGAGCCGTGCGCCTGATCCCGTGCAGCCATGGAACATCAGCAACGCCCTGGCGGGGGACATCGAGACGCGCATGGACCCCTACTTTCCCTTTGAGGTGGGCTTGTGGCTGAGGCATGTGGTTCTGGGGCCAAGTGTTTCACACCCCTGTGATCTGCAGGGGTTTGGTCACTCACGCATGCCCTGGCCCCTGTTCCTTCCCGCTTTCCGCAGAACGCGGTGGATGTCTGGGCACGCACCTTTGCCGCCCTGGGCATCGACTACCGTGGCTCCACCATGCGCCTGGACCTCTGCGACCGCCCCGGCAAGGTGAAATGGATCGAAGGGGAGGAACATGCACAATGAGACTGACACCTCCCCACTGACCGGGGTATGAGACACTGCCTGCTGTGATTCATTCCATGCCCCTCCGCCCACGAGCCGTCCTGCACCCATGTTTCCCCCAGTACTCGAACGGCTTCTGCCACTGGCCCGTCCCGGCCTATCGCAAGGTAAGGTATTGAGATGCTGTGTTGGCTTTTCCCCCCAAACCATGCATGCATATCACCTTGCACCCTCCACTGGCTCATTCCTTACGCTCAGTCAGCGCCTGCTTCCCTCTCCTCAGCGGCGAGCTCACCCCTGCGCAAGCATCCGATGCACATCCATCCCTTGCCCCCCACTCCCTCGACCTCCACAAACCCCAGGTGGATGGGGCCTGGGTCCCCGCGCAGACCAACTTCACCAGCCTGGCCACTCCCGGCAGCGTGGGCTCGGGCAAGACCGCGCTGGTCACGCTGCTGCACGAGGGCGGGCATGCCGCGCATTTCGCCAATGTGGACCAGGCCAGCCCCCTGTGCTCGCAGGAGCGGGCGCCCACCAGTGTGGCCTACGCGGAGAACCAGTCCATGCTGCTGGACAGCCTGGCGGGGGACGCCGCCTGGCTGGCGCGGTACGCCAGAGATGCTGCGGGGCAGCCCGTGCCCTGGAGCCTGGTGCGGGAGGCAATCGAGGCCGGGCACCCCTACGCCGCCTTCTCCGTGCGGTCAATGCTCGCCGTCCCCTACTTTGAAAAGGCGTTGTACGATCTGCCCGACGACCAGGTGGGTGGGTGGAGAGTGGGGTGGGAGGGATTGTGATGGGGGGGGAGGGTGGAGCAGCAACTGGAGAGGCTCTCGGGATGGGCCGTGGTTGCTGGCAGACTACGAATGATGCAACACAGTGTGGGATGGGTCATTACAAACCGGACCCCTGTGAGCACCGCTCCGCTTCACCCCACTCCCTCGATTGCAGGACCCGCCTCTTCCCCTCCAGTAACGCGAATGTCAACCCCCCTCGCACACACAGATAACTCCCGAGCGCATCCTGAGCCTGGCCGACGAAGTGGAGGCCAGGGTGGAGGGTGGCCCGGCACCTCGGCCCCTGCTCAGCGTGCCCCACATCCTGAGCGACGAGTCCTCAGCCTACTAGTGAGTGGGCCTGGTTGGCGTCCTGGGGGTGCAGGATTGGTGTAGAGACCGGTGCGAGCATGTGCCCTGGATGCCCTCGGAGAGGCGGTCAGCCTGTTTCTGGGACCCTTGATGCAACACCCTACATGCCCTGGCTCTGGTGGCCCCCTTTTCCTCACTCCCTCCATCCCTGTGGTCTTCAAACCACAGCCATGGGTATGTCCTGGCGGAGATGGGGGTGCACCAGGCGCGGGCCCACTTCCTGAAGACCCTGGGGCGCATCGTGGATGAGCCGGAGGTCGGCGCCGCCCTCACCAGGGTGTACTGGCAGGTGACAGCCAGTGCGCAGAGGGGTGTGTGTTGGGGACTGAAGTGCTTTGCTCTGTCACAAGCGGAATGTGGTCCATCTTCAGGAAGCATTTTGCAGAACAGAGTAGACCCAGGATCGGGTGTCAAGGCATCAGTTCATGACTCCTCCATGTGCCTCTCCATTCCTGCAGCCTGGGAACAGCGTCCCCTTCCTGGATCTGGTGGAGCGCTTGACGGAGGCGCCCCTCACCGCCGATGCCTGGGTGAAGGAGCTGCAGGTCCCCGTGGAGGTCAAGGTGGGAGGTTGGATGTACAGGGGGCTGGGAGCTGCTTTGACACTTTGAGGCTGCCCTCATGGAACCTCTACAAGGGCGACCACCCCTATTTGCAACCCCTTGCCACACACAGCCCTCCTGGTCACACGCGGTCATCATGTCGCCCACCTTCAGGTTGCGGAGGAAGAGGTGGCCTACAGGGAGGCACTGGAGGCCGGGCCCAGGATCCCCCCTGGCTCACCGGTGGACCTGAATATGCGCATCCTGCTTGTGCATGGCGACGAGACCGTGGCGGACACCGAGGTGGAAGGCTCGCTCCCCGCTGCCTGTGCCAAGTACACCGCCTGGCTTGCGAACAAGGGAACATGACCGGCCTGTAGTGACGAGGTGCCATGGCATCATTGGGTATCTACGCTACCTGGATGTGGGAAGTACAAGCGAGATGTGGCCGACTGCCTTTGTGTGGCCCGACAGCAGGCACAGCATGGCACCGACACAGCTTATTCCGAGTGGCCCAGCTTGGATCGAGAGAATGCATCAGGCATGAAATCGATAATTTGAAATTGTTCATTGATACTATTAATCTCACCCATTGCTGGATTGAGGCATACCCTTTCGGTGCCCTTGGCATAGCCCCGAGACGATGCTGACGTTGCGGTGTGCTCAGCGCGCATCACGACACTTGATCGCGGCCATCGCATGGTAATAGGTTTAGAAGGTGTTTTCTGAAGAGGAATGAATTGATTCCAAACTCAGCTTCTCGTGCTCATGATGTCACCCTGTTCCCCTTCCTCGCCGCAGTGCTTCCCAGCCAGCTTCTGAGTCGATCTCGACTCGGTACCCTGCCACCGAGCCTTTGAGCTTGGCAGCATGGGGCACCGTTGCATTCAAACCAGTCTTACAAACCGCACAATACTCCAAAGCAGCCAAGAGTGAGTGTCCAGGGGTGGAGGCTGCATGGTGGCAGACCCTGTGGTATCGCCATAACATCGGCTTGCTTCTGGGTATTTGGGCTAGGGGGAAGGATATCAGTCGCCAAATCTACCTTCATGATACAGAAGGAGGGAAGAAGGTCGCAACGCCTCCTGCCGCATCTAGCAGCTCTACAGAGGACTTTGACATGGGCAGCACTAGGCAGTGAGGGTTTGGCAATGTGCTTTGGACGCAGAGCAGTTGGTAATGTACCCGATCAGGGCAGTTATTGATTGACATGGCTGATGCACACCTACTGCCAACACCAGGTGCATGGAGCATGCATTGCAGCATCTGCAGAAGGAGCTGTCCAGCATTAGGACTGGGCGAGCCACTGCAGGCAAATGGAAGGGGTTGGGCCTGCCTTGGTCACAGAGGGGGGAAGAGAGGGGGCAGGATTGAAGGTGTGCCAATGATCCACACGGCGCGACTCCAGGTCTGCTTCCCGTGCACTCTTGCACTTCCCCTCTCAAGGCGGGGACATATCATCCTCACCCGCTGCGTTCTCTGGTCGCCGCCCGGTCTGCAGGCATGCTGGACCACCTCAAGGTGGAGGTGTACGGGGACTCCATGCCCATGAAGGCATGCGGAATGGCCACTGTGCGTGACCCACAGTTGCTTGTTTTCAACGTGTTCGACCCCCAGGTGGGTGAGGGATCAAGTTTAGGTGATTGCGAGGGGGTTTGGCGCTCTTGAAGGAATCTCTGCGAGTTGGCCGTTCTCTTAGAATGTGCAACGTGCTATCTTGGATGGCGATGGTGTGCCTTTGAAGTCGCCTGCAGACCTCCAAAAGCCCCTCCAATGTGCTGCTTGCATTCACACCAGCACCTCCCACCCTCCCCTCATTAGCAGACTCTGCACAGTGTTGAGAATGCGATCCGTGATTCCCCACTGGGCCTCAATCCTCGGGTGGAGGGACAGGATCTGCTCATCCCCGTGCCCCGGTGCGGGCAGCGAGTCTTAGAATTTCTATGGTGGCCTGATTTTGCTCAAGCTGCCCTGGCAGGGCAAGAGTGGGGCAGTACCTCTGGACAAAAGCGTGCCTGCATGAATTCCCCCCTCCTCTCCGGCATGCAGACCGACTGCAGAGACCCTGACAGCACTGAAGAGGGTGTGCAAGACCGAGGGTGAGCAGGCCAAGGTGACGATTCGGCAGTGTCGCAAGGTAGGCCTTCATGGGAAGAGGACTTGGGAGGTGCTCAGATAATCTATGTCCCAGACTAGTGGAAAACCGCAAGGCATATAGCCCGTCATTCACCCTGCATGGATTGTTCCTGGGGCTGCACTTGTATCGGAAACCAGTGGAGGCACAAGCACTGGCCATCCCTCTTCCATCTAAACACTAGGCGGCCTTGGACGAGGTGAAGAAAGTAACGGCCGAGGACGAGCGCTTCCGGCTGGAGAAGGAGGTGCAGGAGGTGACATCCTCCTTTGTTGCCCAGGTCGATGCCCTGGTGGCGGCCAAGGAGAAATCCATCACGCAGCACACAGCCTGAGAGAGGCTCGGTCGTCAGTTTGCCCCCCCCACTGCCCCCCCTGCCCAAGCAGCCTGGTGAATGTGTCTGCACTGATGCCTGTCACTTAACAACGAATCAATCATGGAGTCAGGCATCGGAAAAGAGTAGACCGCAGGGATGCGCAAGGCAGTCCCTGGGGTGCCTTGCAGATCATGAGGAGGGTGGGGGCGTGGGCGGGTGCGGGGGTCCGCCCCGGCCTCGTATGCTCCTCCCGCCGCGGCCCCTCAGGAGCGCCTGCCGCCCCGCAGCCGTGCGGCCCCCACGGATCCCGCCTGCATGAAAAGGAAGAGGAATGCGCATGAGCTGGGGTTGGGCGAGGAGCTCAGAAACGATCCTGCCCCACCAGGTCTGTGCACCAGCCCGGCATCCCCGATCTCACACCAGCAAAACACACACCTCCTGGGTGGCTGAGGGGGGGGCTGGACGACTGGCCGGCCGCAGGCGGCGGGGTGGGTGCGGCAGCTGCGGCAGCCGGCGTTCCCGCACCGGGCAGGGCGCCCGGACTCGCGGCGGCACCCGCGCCCAGCGGCGGCGCCTGCCACTTGATCTTGCTGCGCTGCCTCTTGCGGCGCTCCGCACCGCTCTCGCCGCCGTCCCCGGCCCGTCGCTGCTGAGGGGTCGTGGCGCCAGTGTCTGGCGCGGGCTCCTCCGCCGCAGAGGCCAGGGCCACGCTGTTCTCTGCTCTGGCCTGGACATTGGCACCCCCTGCGTCAGCAGCCTTGGCCGCCCGCCCAGGACTCCCTGCCACGGGTTTTGTGGGAGGTTCCACAGCAGGCTGCTGCGCTGCACTCGGCTCGGGGCCCACCGGTGCGGTGGGCTCAGTGGCGGCGACCGCGGCTCCGGTGGCCTCGCCGTCAGTCAGCTCGAGCTCACCCTCATACTCGAGAAAGTCTTCCTCTGCGAGCCCCTCGACCTCGCCGGCATCTGCTGGGAGAGGGGTGGCATGCGAAGGTGGGTTGGGCCAGGGAGGAGGCTTTGTGGCCAGTGCAGCAATGGAGGCGAAAACATGAGATCCCAGCGGTGAAGCTCAACCAAAGGGCAGAGGCTTCTAGCGCACTCGCAGCAGAAACCTCTCCACAGCCTTAGGCAGGCCCCAACCCAGAAAGGAAGAAAAAGGGCAACCCCATGGCCGGTCCCCAATCGCCCTCTCAACTCCTTCGCACCTCCTCCCTGCTCTTCTTCGTTGTGAGCTACTGGAGAGAGAGCTTCCTCCGCTGCCTCCTGAGCCGCTGGCGGATCGGCGAGCAGTGGGGTGTCATCGCCTTGATGTGCCTCGAGGGCAGCTCCTGGCTCCTCTACGGCCTGGGCAGGGTCCTCCGGGGCATGTTCCGGCTCCTCATCGACAGGCATCGGCTCTTCTTCGACGGCAGAGACTGGGTCTTCCACGGCGGAGACTGGTCCCTCAGGCGCGGGCGCCGATGGCTCAAGGACTTCATGCTCCTCTCCGACACCCCCCTCCGGCTGTGCAGCAGCCTCCGAACCCTCCCCATCTACTGCGTCCTCAGCTCCTTGCATCTCCGCCTCCCCTGCGCCTCTGCCCTCGGCCTCTTCACCGCCAGACTCCTCGGCGATGGCATCGGGTGGGCCAGCCTCCGACGGCTCGGCGCTGGGGGGGACTTCCACGAGGTAGGAGGGCTCCTCCTCCGGCGCGGCCTCCGCATCTGCCATGGCTTCTGTGTGTCAGGGAAAGGGGGGGGGGGGGGACGTGGGGTGTCGCGACGCACTCTCAAAGGCGAGCAAACTCCGCGCCACAGTCTGCTGGCAAGGGGCATCGTGGGCCAGAGCGCCAAGAGTGCAGGCGCACCCACTGCCCCTCGTGAACCCACACGCCTCACCATCGTCCTCTTCGGAGGCAGGCTCGACCTGCACGGCCTCCACCCTTTCCACCTCCTGGACCAGGGGTCCCGCCTGGCCGTCGGCCTCCTCTGCCTCCGCCACCGCGGGCACTTCCACAGACGGCGCCGCCTCGCCCGGCGCGGCAGCAGGCTCGGCGACCGGGGGCGCCCGCTCCTCCGGGTCGACACGCGCCCGCTTCCCAGCCGGCGCAGCTTCTGCGCGCAGAGGGTCGGAGGCGAAACTGGGGTTGGATAAACAGGTGGGGGCCTGCTGCGGGGGTGTACAGGGTGGCAGACACACTTGCAACTTCCTCGCAGGAATGAACCTCCCCCAACGTTCCCACTGCCAGTCACCGTAGGGCCACCCCACCCTTTAAGCGCGACGCCCCACCTTGCACGCCCTCGACGTCGGCGCCCTCTGCGCCACCCCCGCCCAGCTTCCTCTTCTCCAGGTCGGCCGCCAGCTTGGCCTGGGCCCCGGCGCGAATGCCCTCCATGGCTTTTGCCCTGGCGGCCCTCGTCCCTGGGCTGGCCTTGGTGGGGGAGGCCCCCGCCGCCGCCGCCTGGGCCGCCACGAGCCGGGCCTCCAGGCCCTGGCGTCGAGAAAGCGTGCACGTGAGGGGCTTCAATGAAAGCGCCAGCGCTCGCTGGCAAGACACGAGACAGGCGCCACGGCAGGGAGCCCCTCGTCTGCGCTCTCGCCACACCCCGGCCGCCATCACCCCGGCCCCCGCCCACCTCTGCGTGCCGCACGGCCTCGCTCTTCTCCCTCGCCGCCGCCTGCAGCTGGCTGTCGAGGCTGGCCACCTGCTCGCGCAGCTGCTGCTCCTGCTGCCGCATCGCCTCGTCCTTGGCCTCCCTCGCCTTTGTGAAGTTCTTGGCTGCAATGAGGGGAAGATGGGCGGTGCGATGGTGAGATGAGCTGACTGTGCAAGGGGGCTGGGCGAGCCCTCTGCGCGTCGACGCTGCTGTCGCGCAGCCCCGCCGCTGAATCATGAACCCGGGATGAGGCACGAAATTGCCCTGATCTCAGGACACTGGAGTCGATGAGCATGGTATGACCTGAGTCAAACAAGGCCGTTCATGGAGCTCTGAGCACGCACCGTTCCCCCACCCCCTCATCACACACCCTCGGGCACCAAGAGGAGGCCCCACGAGCTCTCAACCAACAGGCCCTCCACCCCCTCGCCCCATCAGAACCTCCCACGCACTGTTGGCGATGAAGCGGGCCTTGGCAGCGGCCAGCTCGCTCCTGGCGGCGGCGGCGGCCTGCTCCACGCTCTCCAGCCGGATCTCCAACTCCTTGACGCGCGCGGTGGCCCGCGCCAGCTCCTCCTGCTGCGCGCCGGCCGACGCCTGTCGGATGGTTTCGAGGGCGGGGGGATGGGGTGGGAAAAGGACGAGGGGCGCGGGGTCAGGACAAAGCCACTCGACACGATTTTTGCCCGGCTCCACGGCCGCGAAGCCTCCCCTCCCCTTCCCTCTCCGCGCACGAAAGCCCCCCTAAAACCCTGCATCTCCACCCCTCTCACCTCCCCCTCCGCGGCCTGCGCGCCCAGGCGCTGCTCCAGCTCCACCAGGCGCACCTCCTTGGCGGCCTGCACCTCCTTCCACCGCGCCGGCGGCAGCTTGTCCTTGTTGCACACCGCGGTGACCATGGCCCAGAGGCGCAGCGCCTTCTGGCGCTGCGCCTCGGCCGCCGCGGCCTCTCGCGCCGCGGCCGCCCGCGCCTCGCGCGCGGCTTCTTCCGCGGCGACGGCTTCCCGCTGGACCCCCGCGCGCGCGTCGCGCTCCGCCGCCAGCGCCGCGCGTGCGGCGCGCAGCTCCTCGTCCCCGCTCCCTCAGCTGGCGCTCCAGTTCCGCCACGCGCTCGCGCGCCTCGCGCAACTCGTTCGCCACGCGCGCGTGCTCGCCCGCGTCCACCGCCTCGTACTTGTGCATCAGCGCCGCCGCGCGCGCCTGCCACCGCGCCTCCTGCGCGCGCGCGGCCTCCAGCTCGCCCGCCGCGCCCTCGGCCGCGGCGCGCAGCGCAGCGATCTCGGCGTGCAGCGGCTCGGCGGCGGCCGCCGCCTCGCGCGCGGCCCTCCGCGCCGCCGCCGCCTCCTCTCGCGCGCGCCCCGCCTCCGCGCGCAGCGCCGCGTTGCTCTCGCGCAGCAGGTTGGCCTGCTCCACGCGCGCCAGCAGCGCCGCCTGCTCCTCCGCGGCGCGCACGCCGTCGGCGGCGCGCTCCGCGCTGGACGCCAGCGCCGCGCGCGCCTCCTCCGCGGAGCGCTGCGCCGCCGCGCTCTCCACGCGCAGGCGCGCCGCCTCGCGCTTGGCCAGCTCCAGGCCCATCTGCGCCACCTCGCGGTCGCGGCGCAGCATGCGCAGCATGTCGGCCAGGTCCGGCTGCCGCGCGCCGCCGCCCTCGCCGCCGTCCTCGCCGCTCGCCAGCGCCTCCACCTGGCGCTGAAGCGCGTCGCGCTGCGCTGCCAGGTCCGCGCTCTCGCGCCCTGCGGCAGCCACCTTGTCCGCCAACTCCCCGCGCTCCAGCTCCCAGTCCGCCTCCAGCCGCGTCTGGGTTTCGGGCATGGTGTGAGCGTCGGTGAGAGGGTGTGGGGCTGGTTCCTGGCCCAGGGGGGGCGCGATGCTCGGCATGCGAGGGCCGAGGCGGCACCGTCCCGCCCCCGGCAACCTCTCCTCCGCCCACCTTTTCCACCAGAACCTACCCCAGACATTTCACGCCCCGGGACCGCACGCCCCTTGCCAAAACAACGCCCCTTGCCAAAACACCCCCCCCCCTCACTTTGGCCAGCAGCGCGGCGTCCAGGTCGGCAGCCAGCGCCGCGCGGCGCGCCTCCAGCGCGTCGCGCGCGGCCTCGGCGGCCGCCAGGCGCTTGAGCGCGTCGCCGTGGGCCACGACCTCCGCGCGGTAGTTGCGCACCGCCGCGGCCTCCCGCTCCACGGCGCCGTGCACCTCCTCCATCAGGCGAGCCTCGCGCCCCGAAGCGGCCTGCGCCTCGGCGCGCGCGGCCTCGGCCTCGCGGCGCAGCGCGTCGGCCTCCCGCGCGCGCTCGCCCTCCGCCCTCTCCAGCTCGGCGGCGAACTCGCGCTCCGCGGCGCGCGCGGCGGACAGGGCGTCCTCGCTGGCGGCCAGCGCGGCGCGCAGGCTCGCCGCCTCGCGCGCCGCGGCCTCGCCGGCCTCCGCCGCCTCCAGGCGGAAGCGCTCGTGGTCGAGGCGCGCGGCGCGCAGCGCCTCCTCCCCCGTCCGCGCCAGCAGCTCGTACTGGCGCGCGGCGGCAGCCGCCGCCGCCGCCGCCTCCTGCGCCGCCGCCAGCTCCTCCCGCACCAGCGCCAGCTCGGCCGCCGCCGGGGGAGACGTTCCCGTGGAGGCGCCTCCCCCCCTGGCGGCGCCTCCCTCCGCGCCGCCCGCCCCCGCCCCGCCGCCCATCCCCGCCCCGCCGCCCATCCCCCTCCCGGCCTCCGCGCCCCTCGCGGCCTCGGTGCGAGCGGCGCGATCCTCGCCGCGTCGCACGGCGTCCTGCAGGACCTCCACCCGCGCCTCGGCGGCGGCGGCGCGCTGCTGCGCGGCCGCCACCTCCTCGCGCAGCGC